AAGTGGATAATTATAAAACCATGGGAATTTCAAATAAAGGAATTATCAGGTACAGGGGCTAGTGTTGTGGCATAATGAGTAGAGGAACCTCCTGGATAGCCAATCCATACAAATACGGTTTTGTGTCCTGACTGTTCTAGTCCCATTCTAGCTCCCTGCTAATGGTCTGGACAAAGCAACAGAAGATGGCCTAAGTGCTTGGCCCCTGCCAATCATGTGAGAGAACTGGATGTACCTCCTGGGTTTGGCCTGGCTGCACCCTGGTTGTTGTGGACACTTGGGGAATAAGCCAGCAGAAGACAGGAGACCTCTCTCTTTCCCCTTAAATAAATAAAATGTTAAATTTTTGTTTTGAAAAGTCAACATAAATGAATTTCCCGGGTTTGTGAGATGTATCAGTTCACAAAAATCCAGTAATAATTAAGTAGAAGACATCAAAAGAACTCTATACCCACAGGCACCACAGAAAAATGCTTGGAAACTGAAGCCCTCAAGACACCCAATGAAAAACTACAGGCTACTTTCAAAGGAAAACTGTTAGATTTACAGCTGATTGTTCAAGAAATATGATGGAAGCCAGAAATAATAAGATGAAAGAAAATAATTATGGCCTATAGTTCTATATTCTGGGAAAATATTATTCAGAACTGGAGGTTAAATAAAAATATCTCAGGCTTCAAAACAATTGTAAGAAAAGGTAGACACAGGCAGAAGGAAAATACCTGATGAATGTTCACAGATGCAGGAAATAATAACAAAAATGGAAAATACATGAGTTAAATGCACATATAAAATAATTGTGTAAAATATCACTGAATATTCATTGTGTGAATTAGTAATTCTTTCAGGATTCAAAGATCTAGGAAAATAAAGTACATGCTACCAACAACATATAAACTGACAGGGAAGTAACAGTGTTGGTGCTGAAAATTTTCCATATATAAGCATGTTAACATTAAATGTTGGTAATCAAGGGTTTTTACATCTCTAGGAGGATCCTGAAAGAATAATTTTAAAAATATAATTATTAAACTAATAGCAGAAATATGTAGAAAAATTAATTCAGAAGAAGGAGGCAAAATAAATTTACCTTAGGTAGGAAAAGTAGAACATAATGCAATAATATATTTAGTTACAGAAAAATATAGAGGCTGAATGCTTCAATTAAAAGCAAATAATATTTCTTTGAATTGAAAAATCCTTCACAATATTTACAAAAGAGATATATAATACTTATGTATACAGAAAACTAGAAAATACAAGAGGGTACAGAGGTATGCTATGCAGATTCTTACTAACAGAATGCTGTTGTACCTTTCTGAAAGTCAAAGACAAACAGCATAATACAGGATAAGATTTTTCATAATGACGAAAGTATAATTAGTCAAGAATGTATAATAGTGATAAAGTTATATTCATCTGAAACACATGGCCTAAATATACTAAACAAAGACTGACAGAACTTCAGAGAGAAATATACAGACTTTATAGGAGGGAATTTTAACACATTTGGCTTGAATGATGAGTGTCTAAAGTCACAGAAAATTTAAACAAACTAACAAAAATGACCTCTCATAATACAGGAGCAAAGTACCTGACAAACACAGAACACATATAAGGAGCATTCAAAAAACTAATGAGCCATAGACAAGTGTCAAATTTAAAAATGTTTAATCCTGCAGAATATGCTCTTTACTGGAAGTTCAATTAAACTAGAAAAGAAAGAAAAAATTAAGTAGAAAGTTGGGACAAGCGTGTCCTACAGGTTAAGCTCCCAGTTGGAATAGATTCGCCCCAAATCAGTGTGCCTGGAATGGAGCCAGCTGTATCTCCCCATTCCAGCTTCCTGCTAACGTATGGCTGGGACGCAGCAGACGCTGGTTCTGGTACTTGGGTCCTTGTCACCTTGGTGGCAAACCTAGATTGACTTCCCAGCTACTGAGTTCAGCTTCCCCTAGTCACTGTTGGCATCGAGGAAGTAAATACGAGTCTTTTTCTGTCTCTGTCTCAAACAAATACTGAAAAGTCTTCAATCTAAAAAAAGCTAGAAAAGTCATACATATTTGGAAAGAACAGGTGTAATTTTAAATAACAAACCACAATTAAAATAAGAAAATACTGGGGTGGGCATGGTGGCCTAGTATGCTAATCCTCTACCTACAGTGCTGGCATCCCGTAACGGCAGTTTCCTGTTCTGGTTGCTCCACTTCTCACATTTATTTGTCTTATCTGCCACTCATTGAATTCACTATACATTTCAGTTGAACTTTACTGGATTTGAAATGAACATTAGAGGCACTGAATTCTACTCAGCATTTGTTATAGCTTTACCAGATTAACAGGTGATTTATGGCTCATATTCTGATTGAATGCTATGCCATTTTTAAGAATAAAATTAGAAATACCTTTAACAGCAACAGATGTCTCTTCTATCTAAATGTGCTCTAACCACTCCCTGAAATGCTAAATTCCATGTGTGTTTTCTTGCCTAGTAGACAATTCACAAGAGGGTGAGACATTGAGCAACTATCTCTCTGAGTAGTTGTAATTTTGGCAGCTGCCTTGGCTCACTACATTTCCTAAAGATTCCTCAGAGCCAAGAATGTCTGCCAAGAGGAGTCCAGTGCTGCTGACGACCAGAAATTGGATTATTTACAAATGGAGGTGTTCCAGCTCTCTGAACTTGCCAACTCCATTGTTGGTGGAGTGTGATAAATTGATTGAGTGCATCTGCCCTTGTGAGCTGACGAAGATCCAAATAGCTTTTTTAAAGTGATGGGAAGCCAAGCTTCTCTGGCTAAGGCTTGGGTAGTGTGTACCAATCTACAACCAAACCTCAGAAACGAAGAAATGGATGTAAAGAGGTTACTTCCAGGGGTTTCATCTTAGTTGGCAAAAGTAAGCGCCCTTTCATTTGATTGGCTCAGACATGATTTGGTGGCACTATCAAGGCAAAGGCCTGTGACAGGGCACAGAGAATTCCAGGAAAATGAAACCTTTAAAACTAACATGGGCGGGCCCGGCGCAGTGGCGCAAGTGGTTAAAGGTCCTCGCCTTGCACGCCCGGGATCCCATATGGGCGCCGGTTCTAATCCCGGCAGCCCCGCTTCCCTTCCAGCTCCCTGCCTGTGGCCCGGGAAAGCAGTTGAGGACGGCCCAAGGCTTTGGGAACCTGCACCCGCGTGGGAGACCCGGAAGAGGCTCCTGGCTTCGGATCGGCATAGTATCGGCCCGTTGCGCTCACTTGGGGAGTGAATCATCGGATGGAAGATCTTCCTCTCTGTCTCTCCTCTCTGTATATCCGCCTTTCCAATAAACAAAATAATAAAAATAAATCTTTAAAAAAAAAAAAACTAACATGGGCATTTGGCCTACCAGTCAAGCTGCTGGTGGGATATTTGCATTCTCTATCAGAGTGTCTGGGTTTCCACCTTGGCTCTGTTTTTCTCCACTGCACTCCAGCTTCCTCCTGATGCACCTGGAAGGTAGTAGGAGATGGTTCTTGTGGTTAAAACGTGAACTACGTTTCTGTCTCCCTGCTTTGGCCTGGCCCAGCCCCACGAATGGGATGCCTGCATTGTAGACAGAATCTTATCCACTACACCCCTATTTTCTGCTTATTTGTATGCATTTGTATGCATTTCCCCTACATAAAGACACGTATACAACTGTGCATTGTATATGTATGTTGAGCAGGGATCATGTGTAGACACAGTAACTAAATCCTGTTGTCTGTCCTTGGCCCAAATGGTCTGCCAGCAGCATCCTGCACAGCTGATCATCCTCCTCCTTTTCATTACCTGGATCCCAAGACCTCACAGCATCCGAATTTTTCCTTCTGTGTTACTATTTCTTGTATCTCAACCTGCTTTTCTGGTTGCCCTTCCCAAAGTCTAATCCTTTGACTTCTCAGGCTATTGAGACTCCTATGAACGTCTGCTGAGAATTTCCAAATACACATCTCCTGCAGTGATTCTTGCCTCAACTACACACTCACATGTCTACTCCCTCTCCAATGGGCATTTTAAAAATGTTCAAAACAGAACTACTGAATGTTTTCTTGCTAGCCCCTTAAATGGTCATCCCAGACTTCCAGCCCAACAGGCCAGACTGTTGCCGCCATTCTGATTCTTCGTTTCTCTATACCATCCATCCAATCAGCAGCCCTCAGAACTGAAGTCCATCTGAGGAATTTCTCACTATTCCCTCTTCTACCACTCTGCTCCAGACCACCATGCTTCGTCACTTGAGTCACTACTAGGGTCTCCCCACAAAAACATCTTCCCGTTTTTGTTTTAGTCTCTCCCCAAACTGGGTGATCTTTCTAAAACTAAATCAGGTCACATGACTCTCCTCAGAATACCACAATGGGTCTCCCATTCACCCACAGGAAAGCCATAGTCCTTAAAAATAATCTGTAAGCACTTAGTATGCCTTAATTTTTAAACTTAGAAATACAAATATAGAAGGAAGTATAGTGGCAATGAAGAACATGCGGTTGGGGCGGATGGCCTATGGGCAAAACCTGGCTCCAGTTATTAGCTTTGTGACATTGGGCAAGTTATTAACTTCTCAGTTTCTAAACTCACTTCCCTGTACAGTGGAATAATCATAAAATCCATCTCATAGTTTTATCATGGGGACTAATGAATTAACATTTGTTACATGCTTACAATAGTGCTGGCATGCAGTGAATAACATAAAAGTTGAAAACATTTGAGTCAACATTCTTTGCTATTAGCCAAAGATTTCATATATGTATTTTTTAAAAAGACTCATTAAGTGGACATTGGCTTTAAATATCAGGTTCAATAATTATGCAGCTTTCAAAATTCCTTTGAGGATGTATGGGGAGAAATAATGAGACCTCACTTATAGTCTATTTTTTAGCTGAATCATGAGTGAGAAACATTGCAAGAGTAAAGGATATGTGAATGAACTGTGCTTTCATGAAACAGTATAGTAGTTCTTTTCAAACAATACTTTTTTTTATTTAATAGAAAATTGGCCCTGAAACACCATCCAGACAAGAATCCAGGTGATCCTGTTGCTGCTGAGAAGTTTAAAGAAATCAACAACGCCCACACAATACTGACGGACATGTCGAAGAAGAACATATATGACAAGTATGGGTCCCTGGGACTCTATGTGGCTGAGCAATTTGGAGAAGAAAATGTGAATACCTACTTTATGCTGTCAAGCTGGTGGGCAAAGGTAAATCAGAACGTTTTTCTTCTTTCAAGAAAATGTCCTGGAAGTCTATGATAGTTACTCTTTCAGATTCCATCTCAAAGAAAGTTTAACTTTACTCTTGTCATACAAGGAGATTCACTTTTCACTGAAAGCTATTATTTGGGGATCCTTTTTTGCATTAGCTCATCCATTAATTATGAAATCCAACATGACTTAAAATACTTCTAGACATTAATTATATTTGAATTTGGAGCTTCAGGTTAATTCTGACTGCCCTCCCCCCTCCATAATGACTAATTAACAACTGACTCATTGCTCAAAACCAAAAATAATTTATTAGTGTGACAACTGTTTAATAAAATATTATAGGACAAATTTAGCAATGTCCTTTACTATCTATAGCACAGGCTACGGCAGCAAACACAATACTTGGAAGAGTGAGTGGCAATGATGTCATAGGTTCACGTGGAGCCCCCAGGGGTAGGAGAGAAGGAAACGAGGGGAGAAAGGTGAGACTTACACAGAGACAGAAACATGGAGAGGAGTTGGGGGCGAGGAGAGAATTGGACACCTGATCAAGGAAAAGACAGCATTTTGAAAGCCTCAGGGAAATTTATTGACTTCTGTACAGTACATTTTGATTTCTCAGGAATGCCTAATACATGGATGTTTGGTGCTGGGTTTTTTTAGTTTGTATATAAATATTAATATTCTTAGCTTCTGATTTAAGTCACATTTATAGATCATACATGTAGTTAACATATTTTATGAACAGTTCTCATTTATATGAGTTGTAGTTCATAGTAATAATAATAATAATAAAAAAGTCTCCAAAGTCAGTGTTATGGCACGGTAAGCTACCGCCTATGATGCTGGTATCTCTTATGGCCATCTGTCCATGTCCAGTTGCTTTGCTTCCAATTCAGCTCACTGTTAATGGCCTGGAAAAGCAGTAGAAGATGGCCCAAGTACCTGGGCCCCTACCATACACATGGGAGATGTAGCTCTGGGTTGCTAGCTTTAGCTTGGTCCAACCTAGCCAATGTGGCCATCTAGGAAGTAAACCAGTGGATGAAAAACTCTGTCTCTTTCATTTTCCCTTCCTCTCTAATTCTTACCTCCGTCTTTCAAATAAATAAGCCAGATTCCCCAAAAGGAAGCCATCATGATCAGTAGTATTCTGTTTTCTTCCACTAAATCTTGCTGAGCTTTATCTATGCATAGAGAGATTTTTTAATACAAAAGCATGGAAAGAAATTCTGCAACCTAAAACCTCATTTGTCTTCTATGTTCCCAAAATTCTTTTGGGGAGAATATTTGAGATTCACGGTAATATTCTTATTGAAAACTTGATGGTTTTGGAACTTGGAAAGAGGAGTGTACATGTTGACAATGTCATTCCTGATGATACATTAGCATTCTAACAATAAAAATTAGTTCTAAAAATATATTTTAGAGCTTTCAATGGAATTTAGTCTCTAGGAATCTCTCGTCCTGTGGGAAGGAACATCTGCAGTTGTAGATAGTCACACATGTATGCTTGATTGCATATTGGGGCCTGAGTAAAAATAATAAGGCTTTCTTGCTCAGGAAGTTGATTAACATGACCAAAACTTATGTAGACAAGTAAAATCTACCTGGTAGTGTAAAAGATACACAAAATAATTCCTGTTGGCAACTCCTCAAAATCAGTCCCCAGAGGCTGGTGTGGGGTAGTGGGTTAAGCTGCTACCCGATTCACAGGCATCCCATACAAGCACCAGTGAGCATCCTGACTGATCCACTTTGAATGTAGCTCCCAGCTAACGCATGTGGGAAAGCAGCTGAAAATAGCTCAAGCATTTGGGCCCCTGACATCCATGTGGAAGACTTAGATGGAGTCCCAGACTAATGACTTTGGTCTGGCCCAGCCCTTGTTGTAGCCAGTCACTTGGAGGCCTGCCACCAAATAACCACATATTGAATATGCACCATGTGGATGAGTCAATATGACGTCATCAGTATATCTTTTTAAAAACCTCAGGAACCTGGAGTGGCTAGGATAGTGCTAAAATGCTGCAAGGAATAAAGCAATGGTGTTTCTCACAAGCAAATAATGTAGCTAGATTAAAAGCCAAAACAAAAGAATGAATAGGAATTTTCAGAGAAGACAATATGGAAATTGTGCAGCAAAAAGGAAAAAGGTCGATGAAGAAGGGAGTGGTTTCCTAGGGTTATAGCCGAGGAATTCTGCCCAGGAGCGTCCTGGAGGTAGGGGATGAGGGCGAGGGCTTTGTGGTTTAGGGTTTTAATGTATCCAAGAATATGAAAATGTAAAGTATCTTTCCATAGCAGAGGTTATAGGTGCAAGAGTATGACCAAGACTGTCCAACTCCTGGGGCTCCGCCTCCAGCTGGGCCAGAGAGGTAGGTGGGTTCTGGGCTGGGCAGCAGGTGAGGCTGAGATTCACTGACGCCCAAGTGTTCTGCCTCAAGCTGCTGAGGCAGTGCACGTGCACACCACGAACTCGGCCTTACATTCCTCCCTGATTATTAATCACATGAAATCTGCATTTCAGTTACAGGTGTATAGACCACTTCGTTTCTGGTTTAGTTTTGCTCCATTCACAAAAATAGGCGACAGAGAGGAAGATCCTCCATCCACTGACCCACTCCCCAGGCAGCTGCAATGACCAAGGCTGAGCTGAGCTGAGCCGATCTGAGGCCAGGAGCCCCCTTGGGTCTACCATGAGGGCTCAGGGTCCCAAGGCTTTGGGCCATCCTTAACTGCCTTCCCAGACCACAAGCAGGGAGCTGGATGGGAAGTGGGGCTGCCAGGATTATAGCTAACACCAATTTGGGATCCCAGAGCATGCAAGGTAAGGATTTTAGCCATTAGGCTACTGCACCAGGCCCAATTAATTTATTTTTAGTAAGCAAACCTTTTATCTGTTTGTGGGGAAATCCTGGTGTTGTTCATTAGGAGAAAAGCATGTTTATGAATTTGTATATTTATTAATATGGCACATATTTATTGTTTTTAAAGTGTCTACAAGATACCAAGTCTTTTGGCAAGACAAACTGAAAAATCACTAACATGCATTCCTAGATTCCAAGCTTGCCCTTGTTCTACAGTGTCAACAGGAAGAAAATCAAGGGGGTGGACATTTTGCACACTAGTAACACATCACTTGGAATGTAGAGTATCTAGTTTCAAGTCCCAGTTCCACTTCCTATTCCAGCTTCCTGCTGATGCATGACCTACCTGGGAGTCTGCACATGATGTTTCAAGTGATTGGTCCTTGCCAACCACGTAAGACATCAGGCTCCTCGGCTCAACCTGACCCAACTCCAACTGTTACAGGCGTTTGGGAGGTGAATGAGCAGATAGGAAAATACACTCTCTTTCTCTTCCTTTCAAATAAAAAATAAAGGTAAAAACACATTTTAGATGTATCAAGGTAAAAAAAAAAATTAAATATAGAACAATTGGAGAACAAAAAGCAATTGTTTTGGGGTGGAAAGACATCATAGAAGATGAGTCTTGAACACCAGATGGGTATTGATGAGGTGGCTGGGGAATGAATGCGTTGGCAATGTCTGAATGACTGAATTTACAGTGAGAGCCAAGTAGTTAAGACGAGAGCAGAGCTGAGTACATGCAGGGGAGGGTCAGTAGTAAGCAGCCAGAACATCATCATGACTAGGTACCTCAGCTCTATCTGAGACACAGGTGTTGCAACACAGCTTCAAGAGAACAAGTGTTTAGGAAAGCTCCCCGCAGCTGCATTGGGCAGAGCTAAAGGCAAGTGTGGAAGCAGCAATGCTGGAGGGAAGGCTGCAGCCACAAGCCAATCAGAGATAATAAGGACCTGCTTCAAGGCCTGAAGGGCTGGGCTGGAGATGAGGAGAAGCAGGCAAGAGCTCTGGAGTGAGAGAGTACAGGATTGGATGCCTAACAGAAAGGTGAATGTGGACAGGGCATTGTTACCTTGCCCTTTGATGAGAAGGGTTCAGTTCTCTGAGGCAGCAGAGCTTGGTTAGCTTGTTTGACTTGTGGAGGTTTTATTTGCCAGTTTGGGTTTTGTTTTGGTTTGCTGTGATCTTAATCATGTAAAATAATATATGTGTGATAATATAATAACATGATATATATAACATGTAACAATCTTCATGGCCTAAGAAGAAAGAAGAGATACCATTCTTCTGTGTCTAATTGTTAAATGAAGCTTCTCATCACTCCTCCAAGTACTCTTTACAAATAGAGTTTTTACAAGGAGTAAGGATGGAGGTGGATGAGGGTAATCTGTGAGGTGAACTGAAACAACTTCAGGTCCCTGGGGCCACATGGGTACAGGCTTGGGTTCTGGGGTTCTTCCCCCAAATCTCCCATTCCTCATCCCTGTTTTGCTTGGCCTCTGTTTCCTCCAGGCTCTGTTCATCATCTTTGGCCTCCTGACAGGCTGCTATTTTTGCTGCTGCCTGTGCTGCTGCTGCAAATGCTGCTGTGGGCACTGCCAGCCAAAATCATCGACGCCTTCAGAAGAAACCTTCTACATGTCCACGGAGGACCTGGAGATGCAGATCCAGATCGATGCAGAGAAAGGTAACACAAGACGGAAGCTCAGTTGTGGTGGGTATCGTTCTGAGGTCCAACTACACCCCAGGTCTAAAGTCAGAGGGTGCCAATCGTAAAACGTGAGGAATCCTTCAGATCCTTAGCTTGAGTGATCTTTGTGGGAAGATGAAACGACATTTAGCACTAGTAGATACAGAGAAAAGCTGCACCTGACTCCCTTAGAAATCACGAGAGGTGGGGATGATGAAGCTCATGACAGAGCGAGCTCCAGGTGCAGGGAGATTTGAGCCGGGGAGGCCCAGGCCAGGAGCTTCCAAGGCAGGTATATCCCCTACGAGAAGCCATTTCAGTGTATTCAGTTAGACTGTCTATTAAAACAGAAAAGAGCAAACATCAAAAAAAGTCATCCATCTCTAATTTTCTTCCTGTTGATGGTTTGGCATTGGGTTTGGGGTAGAACTGGTGGCAACCACACTCCTCCTGATTTGTAGCTTCTTTGTAAATATACACATTCAGCATGAACTTTAAACCAGAAACATGTCTGTCTATACTGGGAGGTACACATAACCATGGTATATGACTTCATTTTCCCAAGTTGATTCTATCATTCTACCTAGAATTGGGGGCGGGGCGCGGAGAGAAGTGTAAAAAATAATAAGATGTGAGAGAATCTTTCTATGAGATATTTACATTCTTTGAGAAATGCCTTTGTTAAACACGAAGGGGTCAAATCTGTCATTGTCTTGCTTAGTCTTGCATCTTAATCCTATTGTCCTTTTCAACTGGAAAACATAATTATTCTAGATTACAGATTTTATCAGTTACCACGCGCCCCCCCCAAATAAAACCCTAGATAGCTAACCAAGAGAATAACTGTAATTCAGACAGTGGGGCATTGTTGGCAGAACTGCTGAGATTAAGAATGGCACACTCCTCTGAACTGTACTACACTGTGATTCTGCTGGTCACACTGAGACAGAAATTCCAGGGCCTGGAGCATCAGAGGCTCTTTAAAGGCTTCTGTGTACCTCTTATTCTCTGTTGAGTGTGATGCTGAGTAATATCTGGTGTTATCTACGCTGACTCCAACCTGGAGGAAAGAGTCCTCAATAATGCGAGTCGTCCTGACCCCTGGCATCTGAGAATTGAGGGCTCAGGGAAGTCAGCAGGGTTATTCCTGCAGGGTGGGATCTCTCTTAGTGTATTGCTGGCCAGGCCTGTATCCAGAAGAGGGTGCTCTGACCTTCCAGTCTTGTCCTTAGAGTCAAACTGTAGGCCCAGAGTGAAATGTAATTAAAACTATACTTTTACAAATTTGGGATGTAAAAGGACAAATCATGCTTTTAATAGAGGCATACATAGCAAAAAAGATAAAGCATGCAGGATTGCTGATAAATGAGTAAGCAGTGGTATTTACATAGAAATTCCTTTTCTTTAGTGAAAAACTGGTGACTTTGGCACAGCTTGATAACAAATAATGATGCCAGTGCACTGATTCCATCTGTTCTTGGGAGAAGCTGCTTTAGAACCCTGACAAGAGCTTCTGGCCACACTGACCCTAGGATCTCCCTAATACCCATCAGTCCGAAGCAGCTCTCAGCAACAAAGGACAGAAAAGAATAACAAGAGAGGAGTCTCAGCATCTTTCAGTGGTCAAATTTAACTTTCCCTTTTATAATGGAAAATCCAAATGAGGGTAATTAAACATAAATATCTCAAATCCATTTTTTTCACACTTGTCTGAAAAGCTTCACACTATTTTCTCTTTTGAATGAGATAAAAAGATCCACTAGATCTTTTCCCTAGACCTCCTTTATGGAAAATGTAGTTTCTGGACCAGGAATCCATCCCACGTGCCGGTCTCCACCAGGGAATCTTCCTTGCTAAGTGAATGGTGATGATTCAGAAAGTCTCTATTTCTTAGTGCTGACACCCCAGAATTACCAGCTCCGCCACAGACATCTGATTCTAGGCCAAATAAACCCTGTATTTGACTGTATTAAGAATCCCTAACCCAGGGTCCAGTGTGGTACCTTAGCGGCTAAAGCCCATGCTTTGCATGGGCCAGGATCCCATACGAGCACCAGTTCTAATCCTAGCAGCCATGCTTCCCATGCTGCTCCCTGCTTGTGGTTTGAGAAGGCAAAAAAAGAAGTCTGATTACAATTTTTTTATTATGTAAAGTTAGAAAAGTTTTTCAGTTTTACAACTCATTATTAATAATGTCTAACCTTTTAGGGATTGTTGTCAAGTTTGGGAAAATTCTTATTGTTGATTTAATATGTCAGGGTTACTTCAAATATTTGTTAAATAACTGAATTAAAAAATAAGCTTACTTTGGTGTGGAAAAACAAAATCATATATGGTTGCTGCCTAACATGTATTTTCTGTGAACATTTATGAAGATCTCAATATTTGAAAGAATTTTCCTCAAACCACTTTTGCCTGTTTTTTCAAACCTTACTGCTGTTCCTTGTGACTTCTTCTGAGACAGTCTATTGGACACATTGTGTCACACCGCTGCTGGCCCAGATCTTCATGTCCCTTCAACAAATGAATTGGCTTAATAACCTTGAGGAATGTTCCTAAGGTCATTCCTATATCCATAAGACTAGTAACAATTACTCACATATTTGCTGCAAATTACAAAAACATATTCCATTATACTAAACTCAAAGGAAACTGGTCCCCAATTCTTTTTTTTTTTTAATTTGAGAAAAAGAGAGACAGAGACAGATAAATCAAGATTCTATCTACTTTCCCAACAGACAGGATTGGGAATCAGGAATGAAGTCTATATATCCCAGGTGGATTATAGTAACCCAATAGCTTGGGTCATCCTCACTCTCTCTGAAAATCTGCATTTCCGGGAAGCTATAACCATAAACTAAAGTTGGGAATTAAACTCAGGCATTCTGATGTGGGATTGAGCATATTCACCATGATACCAAACTCCCACTGCTCCATTATATTTTAGCTGAACCCTCAAAATGCCCAACAGACATAGTTATTTAAGAAAACACACTTGGGGCAGGGGGCAGCACTATAGCCTTGTGGCTAAATCCTCACCTTGCTCATATTGGGATCCTAAAAGGGCACTGGTTGGTGTCCTGGCTGCTCCACTTCCTATCCAACTCTCTGGATGTGGCCTGGGAAAGCAGTCAAGGATGACCTGAAAAACAAAGCCTTGGGACCCTGCACCTGCATGGGAGACCCAGAAGAAGCACCTGAGTTCTGATTAACTCAGCTCTGGCTGTGGCAGACACTGAACAAGTGAACCAGTGGATGGAAGGTCTTTCTCTCTGTCTCTACTTCTCTCTGCAAATCTTCCATTTTCAATAAAAATAATTTTTTTAAAAAAAGAAAAAGAAAATATACTTGAAAGACACCTCTAGCTACTCAGATATCAAGTTGCTGTTGTGAAAAATAAGTACGATACCTCAACATTTGAGTTCTTCCAAAGGCACTGGTGTTACATTAGGGTTTTTAGACTTTTATTTTAATGAAAATAAATTTAAAATGGTAAACATTTTCTGCTTAAAGGAATTTTTGATTCTGATATTGAATCTGACCAAAACAATTGTAAACTTTAGGGTTGGAAGCACACTGAGGAGTCTCTTCTATTCCAATCTGTATGCCTTTGTTTCATTTTCCTACCTTATTGCACTGGCTAGTTTTTCTAGTACCTCGTTTACTGCTTTACTGTCCTTGTTTTGAAATCCTTAATTTTTTTTTTTTAAGTATAGCACTTAAGTATCCTCACTTGCTCTGAGTTCTGCAAATTATCTGTCAGTACTCAGAATATTTACTAAATCAGAGTTTCAAGCTGATGGCTTTGGTCAGTAAATATTTTCTTTGATTAAACTATTATTTACCTTAAGGTTTATTTTACAATTACACTACATAAAGACACTTAAAAAGGAAGTCACTAGTCACTGTCAAAGAATAGGGGGAAAGTTGCCTGCCCAACGTGAACACTTTGCTTCTAGGGAAGAAGCTAACTGAGATGAGACAGAAGTGGGTAAAAAAGAATGGCTACAGCCTAGGGGCTTATATGCATTTTCAACTCTGGAAAAGCAAGCCAGATCCCAGTGCTAAATTTGTTTTCTTTCTGCCACGCTGAAGGCAGTGGGATGAAATGCAATCACAACTCCCACCTATAAATCATAAAAATGTCTAGTTGAGTCAAGTCTCCCCCTGAAACTCTCCTTGCTTTTGAAGGAAGAGGAGTAATGTATTTGGAGGAGGAGACTTTATGGTGTTGACCTTGAATCTAAAAGTTTGAGAGTCAAGTGCCCAGAAAAATCTAGTGACTGCTTAACTTTTCCTGCCACTTATCTGGACAAAACCCAAATAAGTCCACAACCACTGAGATAAAGAAAGCCATATGGCTCTAGCTCTCGGCCAAGGCACAGAGATATTTATTACATGTTTACTGTGCAGCACTTAGCGCCTCTTCACTTCCCAAAGGAAACAAGCAAGAGACTAAATTCATCCTTTCTCTTTTAACATCCCCCCCATTAAAATGAGTCCATTTCTAAAAATAATACTTGAAAATTAAAATTCTTGCAACTAGTACAGAGCCCTTCGCTTCTGCTATGTATGAAAATATCAAGTAAACACCTTCAAAGCCCCAGGCCAGGATGGTAGGACAGGTGAGTCGGCTTAGAATGCTCCCCAACAAAGCTACTCAAAGGGGATCCAAGGTTCCCTTGACTTTTGGCTGCCAGTGTTCACTGAGGAAATTTACTAGGCTGGTCTACTGAGACAGTATTTCAACAACAAATATTTACTGAACACTTTAATATCTGCCTGACATTATGCTGGTGGCTAGAGAAAAAAAGTATGGTTCCTGGTATTCTGAGGTGTTATAATCTAGTAGCAGAGACAGGCACACAAATAGTAAATAATAACCACACAAAGGCTTTCTTTACAAATACAACAAACGTGACAAAGCTGACACTAGAAGGCCTGACATCAATGTGAGTGAGAATTAGTTCCTTTATTTGCTCCATTTATTCATTTCGTTAGATAGCTGGAGTTGGGGGGAGAAAGAGACACTTGTTGTGAACATAGTTTTGAATTTATAGTCCACTAATTCAGAGATGTGAAGTAGTAAAATTGATGCAACCTAACCAAATACCCACACTAGCATGGGCTGCGCAAAAGCCAAAATCTGGATGTGGGTATGCAATTAGGGTCTCCTATGTGGGCGGCAGGAAGTCAACTATTAGAAATGAGCTGCCTCGCAGGGTCTGTGTTAGTGAGAAGCCACACTCAGGAGCCAGGGCTCTCAGATGTGAGGTTTGGCATCTGAACTGCTGGGTTGAATGCCCACTCTTGATACTGGTTCTATTAACTATTAAATAGATACAAATACTATGACCTGATTTTTACCTTTCACTATTATCATTAGAATTGTTGGCTTTTTCTTCCTCAGAAACAATCATGGTAAATCATTTATGATTTTTTATTTATACTATTGTAATTATATATACTGTTTGTATATATGTTATTCTCACTTTAATATTACTGGCTTTGTACAACTTGCTTTTTTTCACTCAACATTGTATATCTGAGATTATTTGCATTGTGGCTGCCATTTATTTTTACCATTGTATAAATATTCTACAAAGATATCATGTAGGGCTTACTTTGCATGCACCAGGATCCCAGATGAGTGCCACTTTGTATCTTGGCTGCATCCCTTCCCTTCCTGGGAAAGCAGTAGAGATGGCCCAAACTTTGGAACCCTGTACCTACGAGGGAGACCTGGAAAAAGCTCCTGGCTCCTGGCTCCTGGCTTCAGATCAGCTCAGCTCAGCCACTGCAGCCACCTGGGGAGTGAACCAGCATACAAAAGCTCTTTGTCTCTACATCTCTCTGTAAATCTGCCTTTCCAATAAAAAATAAAAAGTAAATCTTAAAACAAAATCTGTAACATTAAAAAAAGAATATCATGCAATTTATTTACCCAATCTACGGCTGACATTTTCTCCTTTTTGCCCTTGCAAACTGAGCTGCTACAGATGTTCTTGTGCATGAGAGCAAGAATGTCTGTAAACATATACACACAAGTGAAATTTCTTAGGCAAAGGGTATGTACATCATATACATCTACAACTTGTTAAATATTGTCAACTCGGTCTGCAAAATTACTGTAGCTACATTCCCTCCATACTTCATGAGCATTCCTGTTACTCCACATCCTTGCCAACCCTGGCTATCACCAGACTGAAAATGTTGGTCCATGTAGTAGCAGGTGGAAAGTAACAGACAGTGGCTCTAGTTTTCATCTCCTTGGTTAGTAGTGAGGTTGGATGTCTTTTTATGTGTGTGTTAGTCATTTGGATTTCTCCTATGAGATGCCAATTCAAATATTTTGAAGTTTCAATGATATCATCCGCCTTTTCCTCATTGTTTCTGAGCATATTCTGGACCTCAATTCTTCATTGTTTATGATTTGATGTTTCATTTTTTGTGGAATCTTCTGATGTGTCCAAGTTCTTAATGTTTGCAAACTTTTAATCTTTGCACTTAGTGATTTCTGTGTTTTGAACAACCATTCTCTGTTTCAAGGACACAATGGTATTCCCCTCTATGGCCTTCTTGGTTTTACAGTTTTGTTTTGCACACACATCTGCCTATCCATCTGGAGTTGATCTGATATAATGTAGAGATCTTATTTCAGATTTTTTTAATCTTAAAAATCTCAGCCCCCTGATTTATTTTTTTTCAGCCCCTTGGTTTCTAATCTTGGTTTTGGTATACCCTAAGATTCAACAGATATATGTAATAGTTTCTGGAATTTCTTTTTGGAAATCTCATTTCAACATTTGCCACATTAAAACAACTGTCATAAGACTCTATGTTCATTGTTCTATTTTTTTTTACTTTTAGAAATGGATTTCCCAATTGTTCTCCAGCCCACAAATGCAAGTGAGAAGACACAGCTAATCAAAGAAGGACCTAGAAGTTACTGCACGGACTCTTGATAAGGAGCTCACTGAGGGTCCAAGGAGCCTCCTCTCGGTCCAGCTAGGTCTCCAGGTGATCAAGGAGATGGAGGGGCGAATGAAATGCTGTGAACTTTTCCACACTTGTATTTTATTTTTATGTTAGAGAAAGATGATTGCTATATGACTTTCTCAGTATGCAGACCTTATCCCTGAGTGGAATTTTGAATGAAACTCATTTACTTGTGATGAATAAAGGCCCCCATGGTTGTTTTAAGCTCCTTGCGTGAGGTTGAGAAATGGCCTTGGGCAGCTGTTATGAGCTTGTCCTTTATGGGTGTCAGCCCTCATTTGTCACAAACTAAAGTGGTCTCAAAACAAAAGCCACTTTTCATCCATTTGCCTAATTGCAGTATTCATATCAGCCACAGTATCAGCGGCAAATCAGGAGCAGTAGAGGAATTGTGTGCAGAGTTCTGTCTCTGGCAAAATTCACTATAGTTATAGACTATTTCACAAAGAAGGAAAAGACAATTAGGCTTAAAAAGACAAATTGCACTGTTTTAAAATTTGTTTTTGGAGGATTAAAAAATTAACTGAAAAGTGACAAGAAAATCAGGAAGAAACAGATATTATGTGTACTTTCAAACTGGCTTTAGCAAATCAACTTCAATCTGACTGGACCTTTAAGAGATTCCAAGGAGTATTCTGGGATAGAGCCGATCCCAAGTAGGGTGTTGATCATATTTTTAGTGAAATTTTTTTAATTGGTCCAGATTAGCCAGACTGAATAAAAGAAATGCATGAGGTAAAAGTAAAATTCTAAGTTCTATAGTCTAAATTTGCATTTAGAGAGTCATTATCTTATTTTAATGGATTTAATTATGTTCATTAGAAAATGCTGAGCTCTATGTATATTGGGAAATTTAAGGTCAGATGTCATCTCTACTTGTTTGATTCTTAAATTCTTGGTGTAGCAAAAACCTTGTGCTTTTCCTGAAATATAGTACAGCAGCAAACATATACGTCTCTCCTAGACCTTTCTTAGTTCTTTAAGACCTTATTCTGTTTTTATGTAATATTGCATGAAATGCCATTCTCCTTTTTCTTATTTCTTACCCTTCCATACCAGACTATAGTCAATAACTGTTGAATATATTGTGAGAATTACTGTCATTAACAGTAGAGTTTGGAAGTCATTAAAACTCTGTGCTAACTCTTGAGTTAATGGATTTTTCCCCCTATATAATCAAATAGAAAGATCTTTGTTTTGCAAGTTAAGAAGTTTGGATCTAATGTTAAATTCTCAATAATTTATCCCCAGAACCAAGTGATAAAATGATTATCAGAGGGTTAATGAAAGATACCCTGTAACACAGTTTGTATGTCTGCCCTAACCAGCTTCAAGTTGGTTTGAGTCCAGATAAAATAGCTGAGGTGAAAGAATTAGAGTCATTTATTTCACAAATGTAAAGTGATTTTAGATGAATTTATCTATGTTGACACAGATAAATGTAACAGGTCTTCCTTATAAAGATTCTTCACAAAGTTTATGGAAAACAAAGCTAAAAGACACCTTTTAGTGCACAAATGCTTGAAATGCATGAACATTTGGGGGTCAAAAAAGTTCAGGAAAATGCATATTACATTTGATGAAATTATGAAAATGTAGACATGATTTTTTAATTTTTTCACTAAAATAAAATTCTCCTTTAATTCCTTTTTCCATGAACTTTTTGTAGCACTTTCATATAAACTTAACAGCAAAGTCCAGACAGACTCCCAAGTTTAACCAGTGAGTGTTTTTTTGGGGGGGAGTTGTATTTGATAGATGAATGCATTCCACACTTAGAGGAAATGATAATATAAATATCCCAGCCTGTGGATGATCTGAGCCACTGCAGTTCTTTCCTGTGGTCTCTCTAAGAAGCAGATCAGGCCTGTTTCTGAATAACAGCTTTTAAAATCACAAAGCTTTTTTTTTTAAGATTTATTTATTTTTATTGGAAAGTCAGATATACAGAGAGGAGGAGAGACAGAGAGGAAGATCTTCCGTCCAATGATTCACTCCCCAAGTGACAGCAATGGCCGGAGCTACGCCAATCCAAAGCCAGGAGCCAGGAACTTCCTCCAGGTCTCTCACGTGGGTGCAGGGTCCCAAGGCTTTGGGATGTCCTCAACTGCTTTCCCAGGCCACAAGAGCTGGATGGGAAGTGAGGCTGCCAGGATTAGAACTGGCACCCATATGGGATACTGGGGCATTCATGGGGAGGACTTTAGCCACTATGCCACTGCACCAGGCCCAGAACCACAAAGCTCCTTTTCTCTCCAAAGCCTCTTTTTTAATTTTTACATGAATTTGTTTTGTTTTTGTTTTTTCACTTCTCTTCCCAGCTCACCCAGGAAGCTGGTGCAAGAGTGATTAAGATGAGAACAGGACATGAATCAGAATCAGGATCAGAGTCGGAGGACCAAATCCCTGGAGGGTGGTGGGCAGTGTCTCTCTCAAAGGCCTGGTTTCTGGCTAAAATGATGTTGGGTAAATACAAGCAGGTGAATGCCTATGTGAGAGCAAGAATTCTGCAGAATGTCTTCCAGCTACAGAGAAACACGAGGCAGCTCTTCATCTGAGGCAGCTGCTTAAGCTGTCAGTGGGGGGCGTCACCAAGGAGCTGCCACCCAGCATCATCTGTGATCATTCTGAATCCAGAATCGTCTTAGCAGACACTTCAGAGACAAAAGACCTGCACTGACTGTGGGCCTGAGGGGTAGTCATGCCGTGTGAAATGGGAAGCCCTCTCCTAGAGCTTGCTCTCCATTTATCTTTTTGCCATCTTATGTTAGAACATTAAACACATACATGCATTTCTTTGAAGATTAGAATTTTTAAAAAGGACTTACTGATTTGAAAGACAGAGTACCAGGGAATGAAAAGGAGAGACAGAGGGAGGAGAGAACTTGTATTCACTGGTTCACTTCCCAGATATCTGCAATGGCTGGGGATGAACCAAGTTGAAACTGGGCCAGGCTGAAGCCAGGGGCCTGCAACTCCACACAAGTCTCCCACACAGGGGCAGGAACACAAACACTTGGCTATCTTAAGGTTGCATTAGCAGGAAGTTGGATGAGAACTGGAGGAGACAGAAGATTAACCAGTGCCCATATGGGATTCCTGCATTGCCAGCAGAAGCTTAATCCATTTTGCCACAATGCCAGTCCTATGTACCTTTCCATAAATTATGGCAAGTTCCCTCCCTGATTTCTATCCTTTGTCCCCAGTTCTTGCAGTCAAAATCCCAGCGGTCTGGCTCTGGTATCAGGAGTAGAAATCACTGGAAAGGCTTGCTGGGCAAATAAGGACAACTGACTTTTAAACTCAAACCAAAGGGTCTGGCATGATAGTTCAATTGACTAATCCTATACCTACATGGGCCAGCATCCTATATGGGCACCAGTTTGTGTCTTGCTGCTCCACTTCCTATCTAGCTCCCTGCTTGTGGCCTGGAAAAGCAGTAGAGAATGGCCCAAAGCCATCCTCAACCTGAGTGGGAGATGGAGAAGAAGCTCCTAGTTCCTGGCTACTGGCTACTGGCTCCCGGCTCTGGATTGGCTCAGCTCTGGATACTGTGGCCATTTGGGGAGTGAATCAGTGGATGGAAGCTCTTTGTTTCTCTGACTTTCCATCTCTCTGTAAATCTGTCTTTTCAATATAAATAAATAAATCTCAAAACATACACACAACCCGTGAAAACAAAAAACAAAACAAAACAAAACAACTACCTTGGTTTTGGAAGCAGATCATGCAACGGAGGCAGCTGCCAGGGTCTGCTCCTTATTGGCACAAGTTGATAAAGGCTAGTTACTTCTCTGCAAGTAAGGAAGCCCAGATCTCAACAATACTTTCTCACAATTGTCTTGGGTACAAAATAAATGCAAATATACAGAATGGGGTGCTATGAGGTCAGGGTAGCTACCTGTCCCGCTCCCTGCCCCCTTCAGATCATAACAGTATCATCAAGGATACAATTGCAGTGGATACAGGTGTTGCAAGTCCCAGAGGTCTTGCAGGCTGGACCAGGGCAAGGATATCTGAGGGGATTAGTTCACCTTCAAAGCTGAAGATGCCATTAAAAAAAAATGATACTGATGACAAACACCCACTCCCACCAGGTCACCTCTGCTTCAGGACTCCCCATAGCATTGAAGGCAGATCAGAGCTACCATGAAAGCAGCCAGCTGGCCCACGAGGCTGAAGAGGCCTGGGGAACAAGTGTCTTACTTGCTGATGAGGAGGACTTCTTCAAGGGTGTAACAGGTCTTGGAAGCCCCTTGCTCCACAGAAGAAAGAATCTTCTTTCCACTCATTCACTCCCTGAATGGCTGTAATCGCCAGAGTTGGGCCAGTTCAAAGCCAGGAGCCTTCCCAGGCCATTAGCAGGGAGCTAGACTAGAAGAGGAGCTGCTAGGACTCCAACCTGTGCCCAAGTGGGATGCTGGTACCACAGGTAGGGGCTTAGCCTGACATGACACAGCACTGGCCCTGATATTCTATTTCTTTAGTTCAAATGATGCAGAGAGTAAAACACCTTGGATATGGCCTAAACAGGAGACATAGTCCAGCATGCCATTCCTTTGCTACCATTACTTTTGAATTAAAAGAATAAAATAAAACAGGTGACCAGACACCTGAGAACCAATCACTCACGGTTTTTCTGTGTTTATTCCTTTGATCTGTATCTTCCTCACTTACTACCTTATTCCTTGGCACTTGGTAATCACCATGAATTCTATTCTCTGTTTCTATACATTGAATGTTTGGGGATTCCATGTAGAAGTGTGATCATGTGAAATTTAGCTTCTATGCCTGGCTTACTTCATTAAACAGTGTGCTTTACTGCCCAGACTTTTGTTTGGAAGTCTGGGCTACCAGAAGGGCTGCTACAATGCTGCCCACTGAGTTTTGAGGAGGTGAGATGGCTCCACTGAGAGGGTCCTCTAAACTGAATTGAGAATCTGGGGGAGAGTCTTGCTAAGTACCTAATATTTGTCTTTTTTCAATTCTTGAGCATCTCTAGATCACGGATAAAAAACTGAGATTAAAGTCCTATGTAACCAGATTCTATAAAATAAAATCTTAACATTATAGAAAGTTCAGATTAGTAGTGGCTTCCAGAAGTACATTTTTTGTCAGAAGTATATTTGAAAGT